AGTGGCCTCCCCAGGGAAGATGCTTGGGACTGGCCAGGGCTACCCCATGTTACCTGGTCACTTAGCCTGACCTCTAGAGCTCTGCCAGCTAAGTTGGGTGGGATGTCCTGCCTGGAGGAGGCGGCAGAGAAAGGAGGTGGCCTGGGTGGACACCCTGGGGAGGAGGTGCTAGGGAAGTTCCCATGGCTGCCGATTCACTGGGTGGCCCCTACAGAGGCTGTGCTCACCTGGGGCAGGTGGGAGGCCCCAGTGGCTGATGACTCATGCCCAGTCACCCCACACAGCTGTGAGATGCAGAGAAGAGGGATGTCAAGGGCATCTGGGCACAGACGCTCCCCAGCTGGCCGGGATGGTGCCTGGGGTGCTGAAGAGCACGCAGGCTGGGCCTCTCTGCTGGTTCCGTGCCAGCCACGAGAGAGGAACGAGACCTCTAGGAGCTGGGGACAGGCATGACCCTTCCAGTTTTGTCCTGACCAGCCAGCAGCAGGACTCATTGGTGGGAGGGGGATGGGGCAGCAGCCCTAGGCCTGGTGGGGACCCCTCCGACTTCCTGCAGGCTGGGCCAGGGCTGCATCCCCTGCACTCCTGTGGGCATCATCCCATCACCTGCCCACACCTCCAGTGGCAGAGGCGGCCGAGGAACAGCTCTCTGCGACCTGGGTGAGGCAGGTGCCACCCGGACGCCAGGCCTCACTCCTCCCCTGGCTCTGGAGGAAAGACTCCATCCTGCTGGGAGTGGCTGTCCAAGTCACAAATGAGGGCAGTGGCAAGGACACGTCGTTCCTCCTGCATGCAGCGCTGGCTTCTCGGCCATTGCAGACAGTGCACTGATGGTGCCCTGTGTGCCCAGCCCTGCACAGCGAGGGTGGAACAGGGAACAGGGACTTCAGTCACTGCCGGTCACCCTGGAGAAGCTGACTAGAGGGTACACGGTTTGCCCAGGGCTGCCAGGCTAAGGACGGGCCCCAGGGCCGAGGGAGGGTGCTCCTGAGCCAGGCATGCAGGGCTGGGCCTGGGAACCCTGGAAGACCTCTGAACACAAAAACTGGAGCAGCACCCAGCCCAGGTGGCCCATCACCTTGTGGGCTATGTGGGGGAAGGTGTGAGGGTCCAGGTATGGGGCAGGTTCCACCCCCAGTAGGTTCCCAGCTCAGGACTCAAAATGTCTGATGGGAACCAACTCCATCGGGGCATGCAGCCCCCACCGTGCGATGACCACAGACGTGGGTCACCCTTAGCCCTACCAAGGGCCAGTACAACCGAACCCCTCCTCCCACCTGGCTTCTTCAAGGCTCACACCCTCACCTGACCAGGTAAACCAGCCATGGAAGGAGCCACGTGCATGGAAAGCTCTCCCTCGTAGCCAGCCGTTACCGTGGATTCTGCCAGGGGCATGAATCAGGGCTGGGTCTGGGGCAGGGAGTAGGGGGTCTCTGCCTTAGCCCTACTGACTCAGGGCCAGGCCATTCTCTGTGGCAGCAGCCACATCCCCCCTAGAGAATGAAATCACCTCTGGTCCAAACCACTGGTCTCCAGCAGCCCTGACCACTCCGAGTATCACCGAGCACTTGAAATGTGGCTTCGGAGCCTGAAGACCTGCTTTTTACTTTTATTTAATTAATTTAAATAACCACATGTGGTTGACGGCTGCCGCGTTGCACAGGGCATCTCTAGGGCAACCTCATCGCCGTCCCAGCCTTCGTGGTGGCCTCGTCGGTGCCTGGGCTAAGTCGTGGGAGGTGGAACGTGAACTCACTTCCATTCCTGCCTGGCGTGGGCTGGGCATTGCTCGCCTCTGCCCAATTAGTCACCAGGGCTGGCTAGAAGCCTCGGGAACATGAAGGGCTGCTTTCCTCAGCTCTACCCGTGCCTCTGTCTAACCTGAGCCCTGGGTGATCCCAGCACTTCCTGGAGTTACCTTTGGCCAGCAGGTGGGTGATAGATAGGTTTGCCCAACACTCACGCACACACACACCTGTGCACACACACATGCATGCACACACGTGAACACACACATGCAAACACGGACACTCGTGCACACATGCACACACACATATGCACATGCGTGCACAGGTACACACAGGCACATGCACACACACGGACACATGCACACACACGGGCACACATGCACACGTGCACACACATACACTTGTATGCACACACGCAGGAACACATACTGCCTCTAGCTCCTGGAATACCACCCCCAGGTCCCATCTGGGAACCTCCACGCCGGCATCCTTTATCGGACTGAAGTCCCCTCCCCCTGAAAGCTGCTGGAAGCTGCAAACCGCAGCCCTCCTTGTGCAGCTGTCAGTGGCCTTCATCTGTGCAGGGCTGGCTTGTCCATCTTCATCACCCCCAGGCTCAGGGGCGGGGCAACATTGATGTCTTCAGGAAACTGCAAGTGGGATGGGAGGTGAGGACCTCTAACCCAGCAAGGGAGTTGGCTCCAGACTCAGAGCTGCTTCGTGGGTTTTGGTGGTTTTTGTTTCTAGGTTTTGTTTTGGTTTATTATTATTTTTTGAGACAGAGTCTCGCTCTGCACTCTGTCGCCCAGGCTGGAGTGCAGTGGCGTGAACTCAGTTCAATGCAACCTCCGCCTCTCAGGTTCAAAGAATTCTCCTGCCTCTGCCTCCCAAAGAGCTGGGATTGCAGGCATGAGCCACTGTGCCCAGCCTCTTGTTTTGTTGTTGTTGAGACAGAGTCTTGCTGTGGCCTAGGCTGGAGTGCAGTGATGCAATCTCAGCTCACTGAAGCCTCAAACTCCAGGGCTCAAGCAATCCTCCCACTTCAGCCGCCAGAGTAGCTGGAATCACAGGTGTGCACCACCACGCTGGGCTGAGTTTTATATTCTTTGTAGAGATGGTGTTTTGCCATGTTGCCCAGGCTGGTCTGAAACTCCTATAGTCAAGCCATCCTCTTGCCTCAGCCTCCTGGGTAGCTTGAACTATAGGTGTGAGCCACCACACCTGGCTAATTTTTTATTTTTTTGTAGAGACAAGGTCTCACTAGTTGCCTAGGTTGGGTTTTTTAAAAATTTAATTAAATTAATTTTTTTTTTTTGAGATGGAGTCTCACTCTGTCGCCCCGGCTGGAGTGCAGCGGCACGATCTTGGCTCACTGCAACCTCTGCCTCCCAGGTTCCAGCGATTCTCCTGCCTCAGCCTCCCGAGAGCTGGGACTACAGGTGCGCACGACCACACCGGGCTAATTTTTATATTTTTTAGCAAAGACGGGGTTTCACCTTTTTGCCCAGGTTGGTCTCGAACTCCTGACCTTGTGATCCACCCACCTCGGCCTCCCAAAGTGCTGGGATTACAGGCGTGAGCCACTGTGCCTGGACTTTTTTTTTAATGTAGGCAAAATTTACATAACAAAATTCATCATTTTAACTATTTGAAAGTATACAATTCAGTTAATTTTAGTACATTTGCAATATTATGTAACCCTCACCTCTGTCTAGTTCTGAAACATTTTCACCGTCCCGAAAAGGAAGGAAACCCCCTCCCGATTAGCAGTCACTCCCCACATCCCACCCAGCCCCTGACGACCACCGATCCACAGTCTGTGTGGATGAATCTGCCTATTTCGGACATTCCATGTAAATGGACTCATACAGTATAGAGTCTTTCGAGACTTGCTTCTGCTGCTGAGCATCGTGTGTTTTCAAGGTTTGTCTGTGTTGTAGCACGTTACTGCCTCCTTCTTTTTTCGGTTAGTGCCTCCTTTTTTTTTTTTTTTTTTTTTTTTGAGACAGAGTCTCACTCTGTCACCCAGGCTGGAGTGCAGTGGTGCAATCTCAGCTCACTGCAACCTCCACTCCCAGGTTCAAGTGATTCTCCCACCTCGGTCTTCCGAGTGGCTGGGATTACAGGCGCCCGCCACCACACCCAGCTATTTTCATATTTTTAGCAGAGGCAGGTTTTCACCTTGTTGGCCAGGCTGTTCTCGAACTTCTGACCTCAAGTGATCCACCTGCCTTGGCCTCCTAAAGTGCTGGGATTACAGTGTGAGCCACCGTGCCTGGCCATCATTCTTTTTTTTTTTTTTTTTTTTGAAACAGGGTCTCACTCTGTCTTCCAGGCTGGAGTACAGTGGTGCGATCACGGCCACTGAAGCCTAGACCTCCGGGGCCCAAGCAATCCTCCTGCCTCAGCCTCCCAAGTAGCTGGGACTGCAGGTGCACACCACAATGCTTGGCTAATTGTATTTTTGTAGAAATGGGGATTCGTCATGTTGCCCGGGCTGGTCTCAAACTCCTGGGCTCAAGTGATCCTCCTGCCTTTGCCTCTCAAAGCGTGGGATTACTGGCGTGAGACACTGTATCCAGCCTTCCTCACTTCTGATGAGAGCTCTGGGAAGATTTCCGCTCCCCACTGCTCCCTGCCCCCAGCTTCCAGGTTTTAGTGCTAGCCTACAGAGGAATTCCTTGCAGCAGCATTTCCTGTAGAAAATCTGTTTAGCACTTACTTTACCCAGTTCCAGAGAGGTGATCATTATTTATTCTCTGCCACATGTTAGCATGCATGCAAGTATACACACACATGCATGCTGTGTACATGCACGTACACACGTGCACACACGCAAACATGTATGTACATGATGTGCGTGCACCTGTGTACTGTGTGTGCATAAATACACACACAACACACATGTGTGCATGCAGGTGTGCACAGGTGCCGACTTACACAGAGAGTGCTGCTAGACGTGGTGCCCCCTCCCCTTCCCTGCCCTGTCTGAGATCTGGGTTCCGTTTCATTCGTCGTTCACAGGGAGGCCTTCCTGGCCCCTTCCTGGCTGGGCTCAGGGTGTTAGACTCGGCATCTTCCCACACCCACAGACGCCTTTCTTCGCCCTGCCAGGCAGATGGCGTCTGTGCCAGGCATGAGTCCTGGGAGCCGTCTTGGCTGTCTGAAGGTTTTTTCTGCAGCTTCCAGTTATGTGTAAGCCGCTATCTCAGTCTGTTCGTGCTGCTGTAACAAAACGCCACGGACTGGGTATTTATAAAGAACAGAAATTTATTTCTCACAGTTCTGGGGGCTGCGCAGGTTCAGCGTCTGGTCAGGGCCTGGTGTCTCCTCCCAAGATGACAGCTTGTTACTGTGTCCTGCAGAGGGGAGGAACGTGGTGTCCTCACACGGCAGAGAGACAAAAGGGGAAAAGGGACCAAACTCCCTCCATCAAGCCCTTTCACCAGGCACTAAGCCATTCATGAGGGCGGGGCCTCATGATCCGAGCCCCCCTCCAAAGCACCCATTCCACTGATGCACTAGGCAGGTCAGTTTCTGACACACGCTTTGGGGAGGTCATGGGCAGGTGACAGCAGAGCCCCAAGCCAGTCTGATTCTTTCACTTTGTTGTTGTTGTTGTTTGTTTGTTTGTTTTTGAGATACAGTCTCGTTCTTGTTGCCTGGGCAGAGTGCAGTGGCAGGATCTCAGCTAACTGCAACCTCCGCCTCACGGATTCGAGGGATTCTCTTGCCTCGGCCTCCTGGGTAGCTGGGACTACAGGTACGTGCCACCACACCTGGCTAATGTTTGCATGTTTAGTAGAGACAGAGTTTCACATGTTGGCCAGGCTGGTCTCAAACTCCTGACCTCAGGTGATCTACCTGCCTCGGTCTCCCAAAGTGCTGGGATTCCAGGTGTGAGCCACCGCACCCGGCCTGATTCTTTCCCTTTCTTAGCAGATTCTTTCTAAATGGGTATCCATAAACTTTCCTTTCCCTGTTGCTATAGTTTGGGTGTTGGTCCCTTCAAACCTCAGTTGAAATCTGATCCCCAGTGTTGGAGGTGTCTGGGTCATGGGGGTGGATTCCTCACGAATGGCTTGGTGCTGTCCTCTTGGTAATGAGTGAGTTTTCACTCTTACTAGTTCCAGCAAGACGTGCTTTTTTTTAAAAAGGCCTGCACAGCCAGGCGCGGTGCCTCACGCCTGTAATCCCAGCACTTTGGGAGGCCGAGGCGGGTGGATCACGAGGTCAGGAGTTTGAGACCAGCCTGATCAACATGGTGAAACCCTGTCTCTACTAAAAATACAAAAATTAGCCGGGTGCGGTGGCGGGTGCCTGTGGTCCCAGCTACTCAGGAGGCTGAGGCAGAAGAATCGCTTGAACCTGGGAGGCGGAGTTTGCAACCTCCATCTTTTAAAAAAAAAAAAAAAAGGCCTATACTTCCCTACTCCTCCAGCTCCCTCCCGCACGCGGTCTCCACACACTCCAGCTCCCCTTCACCTTCTGCCAAGAGTGGAGGCAGCAAGACCCTCACCAGGGGCAGACGCCCGATCTTGAACTTTCGAGATCTCAGCATCATGAGCTATGTTAGGCTGTGGTTGGCTTGCTATAAAGAAATACTTAGGACTGGGCAATTTTAAAAGAAAAGAGGGCCAGGCATGGTGGCTCATGCCTGTGATCCCAGCACTTTGGCAGGCCAAGGTGGATGGATCACTTGAGCTTAGGAGTTTGAGACCAGTCTGGGCAACACAGTAAGACCCCATGTCTACAAAAAATAAGAAAAATTAGCCAGGCATGGTGGCGTGTGCCTGTAGTCCCAGCTACTCAGGAAGCTGAGGCAGGAGAATCTCTTGAACCCGGGAGGCGCAAGTTGCAGTGAGCCGAGATCACACCACTGCACTCTGGCCTGGGTGACAGAGCAAGACCCTGTGTCAAAATAAATAAATAAATAAATAATGAGAAGAGGTTTACTTGGCTCATGGTTCTGCAGGCTTGACAGGAAGCATGGTGCTGGCACCTGCTTGGCTTCTGGGGAGGCCTCTGGAAGCTTCAGATCATGGTGAAAGGCAATGGGGGAACAGGCAACTCACGTGGCCAGAGCAGAAGCCAGCAAGCGAGCGAGAGAGGTGACCCACACTTTTAAATAACCAGATCTTGGGAGAACTCACTATCTCAAGGACAGCACCAAGGGGATGGGTCTAAACATTTCTGAGAAATCCACCCCCATGGTCCAGCCACCTCTCAGCCACCACTCAGTGTAAACCCCACCTCCAACCTTGGTGTTTACAATCCAACATGAGGTTTAGTAGGGACAAATATACAAATTACATCATGATTCTTCATAAATTGTCCAGCCTCAGGTATTTCTTTTTTTTTTTTTTTTTTTTTGAGACGGAGTCTCGCTCTGTCGCCCAGGCTGGAGTGCAGTGGCCCGATCTCAGCTCACTGCAAGCTCCGCCTCCCGGGTTTCCGCCATTCTCCTGCCTCAGCCTCCCGAGTAGCTGGGACTACAGGCGCCACCACCACGCCCGGCTAGTTTTTTGTATTTTTTTAGTAGAGACGGGGTTTTGCCGTGTTAGCCAGGATGGTCTCGATCTCCTGACCTCGTGATCCGCCCGTCTCGGCCTCCCAAAGTGCTGGGATTACAGGTGTGAGCCACCGCGCCCGGCCTCAGGTATTTCTGGATAGCAACAGTAAAGGAGACACTGTGGTGTTCAGGAGTTGTATCAGGACGGGCCCGGGTGTGGGCTCGCCCTCATACGTCCTGCTGGGAGCTCAGGGGGCTTTCCAGCCTGCAGGTCGGGACGTCCTTCTAGTCTGAAAGATGTCCTAGTATCATCAAACCACCCCACAGACCATGCCTGGAGACTCTGCCTCACACGCCTGTTCCCAGCAGTCACCAACCCCTCATCCCTCCCTTATCACCGCATCTGTGCAAGCGTCTCCCCTGTGATGGAGGCTGTTCCTTGGCAATGACTATCCTCAGCTTCAGCCCCCTGCTGACAGTTTTCTAGCTCAGAACCTGGGGCTCTGGCTGCAGGATGCCCTGTTCATGCCATGTCTGCATCCTGTCTTTTCGGAAGGGGTGGTGTCATTCTCTGGGCTCCACATCTGTTTTGTCCTCCTCTCTCTGACCCCGGGGCTCCAGGGCACCACTGTCCTCTTCCTTTGTCAGTTTGTTGTGGCTGGGGCTGGTAGTGGGGGAGCCACAGCAATCAGCCTCCCTCACCTTGCCCAGCCCGCACATTCCCAGGGCTCTGGCCATCCCCACTACACCACAGCACTCTCTGTGTGCATGGGTTATAGAGTCAAGACACAAACACACAAAAGCCAGGCAGACGGGCACAGTACCTGCTGCAGCTGCATGAAGCTGGGGCACCGTGGGTGAGAAGAGCTAGAAATGTTGGGGCCATCAGAGCCCAGGAGGACCAGCTGAGGGAGGAGCAGCTGACAGGTGGGCAGGTGCCCCTGGTCAGGGAGAGCAGGACTCCCCAGGAAGAAGGATCACAGTCACCGCGGGAGAACTGGGCTCTGTTCATCAACAGAAAAGCCATGAGCGATCCTGCCAATAAGGTCAGTTTTACTAGTCTGGCAGCCCCCACCCCAGGCTCCTGTAACTCAGAAACTGGGCAGTTCCGACTGCCTGTGCCTCATTAGTGACTGACGGTGGTCTGGCCAGTGGCATCTCCTGTCTCCAGGCCCTGCTGTGTAACTTCAGGAATGGATACCTGCCTCCCCCACCCGACCTCCAGCTGTTTGGAGCTGAGGGGTGGAGAGGAAGGACTTGGGGGTGGAGAAAGGCGGGCACCACTGCGGGGCCTGCGGGGGCTGCTTTCCTCTTCTGCAGTGACCTGGACGGGCTGAGGCTGTTGTCTCACTCACGCTGTGGTGCCCACACCAGAGCCCTGGTATGCTACTGCCTCAAAACACACATTCACCTGTTTCACGTTCTTGAGTTTCAGCGAGGATGTGACAGGTCTCAACATACATGGACGTGGGACCATGGGTACGGGTTCTTCAAGGTCCCCATGCACCGCAGCCCAGGGGGCTTGTCTGAAGGGCTTTCTTCCCAGCGATGGGAATCAAAGGCCCCAATCTTTGAAGCTGGCCATCAGCCTGAACGTCCACTCCTTGTTTTCTTTTGCAAGGAGGAACATTCAGAACCAACACAGATAAGAATGTTGACTCGGTCTCCAGGCCGCAGGGACTGGCGGGAGGCAGGTGGTCTGGCCTCGTATTGTGAAAGGTGGTGGCTTTGCCCTTGACCTCCAAGCTGGACATCAGGACCTCCGAAGGCGTGGGCCCGCTCTGTCTCTGGCCTTAGGTGTCAGGAGGTAAGGCTGCAGACGCTGACGTCCTGGGATGCCCCAAGCCCGGGAACTGGCAGCCCAGTGAGGGGGTCTCCCCTGTGTCCCCTGAGCCTGGCCTGTCATTCTGTCCAGGCCTCAGCTACCTGTCCCCTCCTGCAAAAGGCACCGCCTGTCGCGAGGAACTCATCTGGCTTCCTCGACATCTCGGGGGACACACGAAAAGCCCCCGCGAGAGCAGCGGGAGACTGCAGGTGGAAGGGGCTGGCGGCCCGAGGTCCAGGGGTAACGGGACGGTGCGGGGCAGAAGGGCTTGGCCCTGCGCAGAGTTGGGAGGAGGCCTGGAGCGCTCGCCCCGCCCGGCCCCGCCCCCGAGGGCCAGGCCCCGCCCCCGGAGCGCCGCGGCCCCGCCCCACCGGGTTGCTAGGGGAAGTGACGTCACAGCGCGATGGCGGCGGCTCCTTTAGGCAGCTGAAGGGGGATTTAGGCCCGGAAGATCCGAGTCCATCCGCGGCGGGGAGAGGGCAAGCGGGGTCGACAGGGGCCGGAGCAGCGGCGGCGGCGCTCGGACTGTCCCATCCGCCCCGTATTGAGGCGCTGGGAGCGGCGGGGTGACAGGAAAGCGATGGTGAAAGCGGGGCCGTGAGGGGGGCGGAGCCGGCAGCCGGACCCGCAGTAGCGGCAGCAGCGGCGCCGCCTCCCGGAGTTCAGACCCAGGAAGCGGCCGGGAGGGCAGGAGCGAACCGGGCCGCCGCCGCCGCCGCCATGGAGCTGAGAGTCGGGAACAGGTACCGGCTGGGCCGGAAGATCGGCAGCGGCTCCTTCGGAGACATCTATCTCGGTGAGGCCCCGCCGCCCCCGCCCGCCGTTCGAGGACCCGGGCCCAGAGGCTGCCAAGACCAATCGCGACCGCGGAAGGAAGTGGCGGCCCCCGCGGGGTCTGCGTGCAAGTCGGGGCGCCGCCGGGTCGTGGCCAGAACCCAACGGCCACTAGGCGAGCGCGGCCAGGGGTGGGGAGGGCAGTGGGGAGCGGACGTGGGGGAGGGGCAGGGCCAGGTCGGGGGAGCAGGGTCTGGAGGGAGGAGGGGACAGGGGAGCTGACCCGGGGTGGGGCATGGGCTCGGGGGCGCTGACCCGGGTAGGGGCAGGGTCGTGGGGAGCGGACCCGGGAAGGGCTGGGTGGGGCGTGGGGAGGCGGGCCTGGGGGAGGGGCGCCTGGGGGAGGGGCAGGGCGGGGGTGGGGGCAGCGGGCCGCGGGCGGGGAGGGGGCAAGGCCGGGGCGGCGGAGCGGGCGTCGGCTTCCTCCACGCCTAAGGTCACCGCAGTAAACAAAGGCCACGGTCTTTCTTCCGCAGCCCGGTCCGGGGCTGTCTGGTTCCCCCCACAGAGGCTGCCCCTGCGTCTTGCACGCGTGGGGGAAAATGTCAGAAAGACCCAAATGCCTTGTGGGAGTGGGGGAGTGGCCCGGCTAGGAGCGGAGCTTGCCCTCCGCCTCGCAGCCGCCCTGATGACTGACCGCTGGGGGTTCTCTCTCGCCTGTGCCCCTTGGCCTTGGAGCGGTGACTGAGTGCAGATGAGCAAGGGTTAAGTTTAGGTGACGGTAGAGAAAGTCACCCAGGGTTAAGATGCTGGCGAAGTGAGAGGCAGATGAAGTAGTTGTACTCATGAGCTGTTCTTTAGACTATAACAGTCTCACGGTAGATTTCAAAAAACATGGGATTAGAACGTTCTGGGGTGTGTCATATTTACAATGGAAAAATATGCACATGAACACAAGTGTAATGAAAGGTTGGCTTAAATCTTCAAGTTTGTAATTTTTTTTTTTTTTCCTTTTTTGAAACGGAGTTTCGCTCTTGTTGCCCAGGTTGGAGGGCAATGGCGCGATCTCGGCCTCCCAGGTTCAAGCGATTCTCCTGCCTCAGCCTCCCTAGTAGCTGAGATTACAGGCATGCGCTACCACGCCGGGCTAATTTTGTATATTTAGTAGAGACGGGGTTTCTTCATGTTGGTCAGGCTGGTCTCCAACGCCCGCCCGATCTCAAGTGATCCGCCCACTTCGGCCTCCCAAAGTGCTGGGAAGCCACTGCGCCTGGCGGAAGTTTGTAATTTTAAAGTAACAATTTTCTGCACTTGTCAGTGGGATTGTGCAGTGCGCGAGTTATTCCAAGACCCCTTGCATTTGAGGATATGTAGCCTGAGGCGGTGTGCCTGCAGAGGGGCTGCTGCAGACCTTTGAGGGGAGCTGTTTTCTGTTCCAGCAGCCCTAGCTTTTGGGGCATTTGTCAGCCAGGGTCAGGAATCCCATGGGATGTCAGTAATGCCTCTGGTCATACCTTTTAGATGAACCCACATGTGGACAGTACCCAGTTCTCACTCCCTTCCCATTTTTCACCAGAGAGAGAACTCAGGACCCGGTGGGCTGACAGCGTTAGGCTGAATCCATACATATGGGTGGCCCATACTTCGGGTGCCTGGTTAATCTGCCGGGTAACCCCGTCATATGCCATGTTGTTGCTTTTGAACCTGTACATATGCCTTAGTGGCCTGCTGAGTAAGCAGGCCTTAGACATTTGGGTTTGACTGTTTAAACATTTATACCAGGTGGTCAGCTGGATGTGTTCTTGGCAGTGTTTTGGAAGTCAGGGTGCTTGGTAAATGGAAGTCGTTTGGCTTATTTATAGAACAGTAGATTTTGGCGAAAGGTTTAATCCCAGGATCTGAGTTACACTGCAAAGCCAGTCCATTAACCACCTTTAGGCAGGCATCAAAGAGAAGTATTTTGGGCCAGGCGTGGTGGCTCACGCCTGTAATCCCAGCACTTTGGGAGGCCAAGGTGAGCGGATCACTTGAGGTCAGGAGTTCGAGACCAGCCTGGCCAAAGTGGCGAAACTCTGTCTCTACTAAAAATACAAAAATTGGCCAGGCGTGGTGGTGGCTGCCTGTAATTCCAGCTACTTGGGAGGCTGAGGCACGAGAATCACTTGAACCTGGGAGGCGGAGGTTACAGTGAGCCAAGATCATACCACTGCACTCCAGCCTGGGTGATAGAGTGAGACTCTGTCTAAAAAAAAAAAAAGAAAGAAGTACTTTGAAACTATTTGTTCTCTTCTCTGAGACCTTGTCAAACAACTTTTGTGCTTTCCAAAGATAGAGTCAGACAAATTTTGGTGTGGTTGTCACCAAGTGATTCCAGAGGTGGAGGGTGGAAGGCTGTCTCCTCACTCAGCGTTCTACCCTCCAGGCCTCACCTCTCGCTGGGCATACAGTCATGTTGGATACGGGATTGCAGGCGGCTGTGGCTCTGACTCCCTGGGGTTGGACCCCCCCAGACAGCCATCTATCAGGGTACACGTCCAGTTACTTGAGTAGGGTTGGGCACAGCTGAATTTTTTTTTTTTTTTCCGTCAGCATTGGCTCCTGGCCACACTGTGGTCCTTTCAGATGACCCCTCTGAGGAAATGAAAGGCGAGGTGGTCACGTTAGCCGGAGTAAGGCAGTTTGGAAGAAGCGTGGGTCTCAGCAGAATGGCAGTTAGAGTCAAAGATGGCTGATCTGAAGACCTTGCGATGGGTTGGTCATCCCCACCATAGTTTTGTTTGTGCAGCCAGTTAGACATAAATTGAGGAACTAGGTCTTCGTCTTGACCTCTGCGTGTCGTGTGTATTCTAGTGTGACTATCGTTAAGACCATTCCTACTGTTGTCACTGTGGTGTTCTCCAGGTGGGGTTCACCTTGCTTTGAGCCTGGCTTTTGGGTTTTTGTTTTTCCACTGGGGACTTTCTGTGCTTTCTGGTGTTTGAGCCCGGGAAGGCGGGGGGAAGGCTGTGCTTCAGTGGAGTGCCTGTGGGCTAGAAGTGTGGTGTGGGCCTGCCTGCCCCGACCCTGCTGTGAGAGTTGGAGGGCAGTGCTGCAGTGCAGGACCCCACTGGGTTGTCGTGTTCCAAAATTGCCCCTTCAAAGGGGGCAGTATTTTGGGGCTATTTCTTGAATGCCCAGGCTTTGGAAAGTGGGACCCCAAAAAGAACAATCTCAGTCTTCAGTCTGAGATTGCCAGATCTGGAAGGCCCTTCAGGAGGGCAGGCTGGGAGGCGGCACAGCCCACACACAACCTGTGGAGCGCACACCTTGGCAGCCTGTCGTGTGACCTGGCCTCGGCCCTGTGCTGCCCTCCACATTCGTGTCCGTGTGGTGTGGCCATAAACCAGAAGTCCTTTCATTTTTGCTGGCAGAGTACCACTGAAAATAAACTTGATAACATTTGAAAACAGACAGTCCTTAATGTGGACCATGAGTTCCCAGCCCCAGTACCACAGGGGTGTCTGGGGGAAGGAGAGTGTTCAGCTGGGCCAGGTTAGAGGGAGAGGCCTGTGTTCATCCCGCAGGGGGCCCATGCAGAGAGGCAGTGAGAGCCCAACTGGCCTCTGTTCTCACCCGTAGTGTGTTCTGGAGGTGAGTGGCAGGACTGGATTACCTGGGTGGTGGGCTGGACAGGTGCATCTGTTGGCATTTGTACTTGATCCCATTGCACCGTCAGCTTGTCAGGGCCTCCGTTTGTCCACCTGTTACATGGATGGACTGACCTCGTAATGTGCACGAGTATCTTTTGGGAGCTAACTACTGCTTCATCTCTGAAGCACATGTTTTTCCCCTCACTGACTGATTTCTCAAGAGGCAGCCTGCAGGGTGCCTGGCATGCAGTAGGACCCCAAGACGTTGACCAGCCATGAGAGGAGAGCGGCCACCTGTTCTCACTGTAGGTTCCGGGGTCTCCTCACTGCAGTGTTGAGGGCTGTAGCCTCTGTTGACCTTGGACTGTGCTTAACTCAAGCGTCTGTAATGAGAAGTCGTGGTACTGCTGACCGCTGCCCTGTGAGGTGACCTTTGTCCTGCTGCTCAAGGCGTCTCCCTGTTTCTTTGTTGACAAGACAATCAAGCCTTAATGGGAGTTGCCAGCGTCCAGGCTGACAGGGCCACACTCTGGTTAGGTTCACTTAATTCACCATCTGCTTTTGTTTTTTTTTTTTTGAGACGGAATCTCACTCTGTCGCCCAGGCTGGAGTGCAGTGGTGCAGTGGCCGGATCTCAGCTCATTGCAAGCTCCGCCTCCCGGGTTTATGCCATTCTCCTGCCTCAGCCTCCTGAGTAGCTGGGACTACAGGCACCCGCCGCCTCGCCCAGCTACTTTTTTGTGTTTTTTATTACAGAAAGGGTTTCACCGTGTTAGCCAGGATGGTCTCGATCTCCTGACCTCGTGATCCACCTGTCTTGGCCTCCCAAAGTGCTGGGATTACAGGCGTGAGCCACCGCGCCCGGCCTTTTTTTTTTTTTTTTTTTTTTTT